GGATGGTGTAGTGGTGAAGTGCGCTGCTCCCCGGTAAGGACAACAGCGCGTGTTCGTTCCCCACTGCATACACCTGTGGTCCGGAGTTTTGCAAATATCTCAGCATTTCATACGAGTTATAATCGGTTGATTGTTTAGAGACTTTTCATGGCCGCTTCTATTGACCAGTGAGTCCAAGACAAGGCAGGTGAAATTGGAAGGTAAAACCATCTTCTATTCCCTCTTTCTCATGGGTGCGTGCGGTGCAGTGGTCGGAGGCGCCCTGCAATACACATGGAATCGATCCCCGCACTTCAGGTTCACCAACAGGTTCCAAACCCAACACCATCCCTCCGAGATCGGCAAATTGGTAGCACACATGCCTGGGACGATAGCAGCAGTGGATCGGTAGACCGCGAGCCATTGTAAAGGCCAGATATGCATTCAGTCACCTCCAACAGTGCCTAATCATCAAGTCGAATTCATGGCCCATCCCTCAGAGATTGATCAACGCCGAGAGCTTTATCCTTAGTCCATTTACTCGCTCTTTCTCAAAGAATTTCGTAGTCGTGTCAACACGATCCTTAGTAGAGAAGAAAGTTGTTGTTGCCTCTCCTATTGTTGCGTTCTTAAACACTCCTATTCTGAGTCATAGCTCTATAAATTCTATTGGATGACACAGGCGAAATGCATAGAAAGGCAGAGATGTATAAACCAAGGCAGCAAGTCGATAAGCCGACTGGATGATGATCACCGCTTTTCCTGTAAAAGAAATTGGAGTCATAGTCGTTTTACATACGCCAGATTTCATTCGCTGCCTTGAAGCATGTTACGGATTAGTCTTCAAGTCAAGCCTGAAAATCAGTGTTTAGTTGAATTACTTCATCGGACTGCACTTTTTCGTTTCAAAATTCAAGCTTCAAAACAAATTCAAGTATTGGTAGTAGGAATTCCCGCTCTTGAGTAGTCAGAAGGTGCTCCACTTTCTGAAAAGCTTGTGGTATTTCGAAGATTTTACGAATCTTCAACCACTTCTTAGCTATGAAAGTTAGTCGACGAGTCCGCTTTGATAGCAGATCTCAAAAAAAAATTGCGGCTTTTTCATACCGGTAAAAGATGGGGAAAATATTCATGTATGATATACACCCTACGTAGTGTAATCAAACTAAGCTTAGAAGATCGGGCCAATGCTAGGAGAATAATTCTAGTTGACTAATACAATAACACATTGAAAATTCCGCTATGCGAAACGATTCCTTTAATTCCAGATTCCATTTTTCGGACATTCTTCTAGCAGCAGCAGCAGCTCTTCAGAAGAGAAGCAGTCGAAAAAAGGTCGTAAAGTTTCTGAAGGATTGTCGTCTGTAACAACTACTAGCTTCCCTGGTGACGGCACTTCGGAGGGAATGGCTTGGGAAGCTGATTATACTGAAACTCCAGAGGAGTGGTCTACCGCTGAAGATTATCAGCCCGTAGACGAGAATTTAGCAGCGAAAGAATAAAGTGATACGAAAAAGAAAAGAAAACCGGAAAATATGTTGCATTAAGCCTTTTATGAATAATGTAACAAGTGGTAATAAACATTAAGAAAAGTTTTCATTAACTTAGTTTTTTGCTGATCGCAGCTCATTTCCCATCCATTTCGTTTCATTCTGTCTGTCATTCACCATCTCTTTTCTTCACGACAATGTTCAGAGCGATCTTCTACCTGCGAACTGCATACATTATGAGTGCAGCTGGTTGCCCTGAGCGGCAAACATGATTAACCCGCTTGATTCGTATTTTACAAGTAACCTCGTCAACGCCAGCACCCGTTGAGAGCCTTCAAACCGCTCCCACATCACCTCTTTAGACTTATTCTTACTCGCTTCACTGTATTGCGAAAATTATACGGCTTCTGTAGGTGCAGTGGCTACAGATGCTTGCGATAAACAAGGGATCATTATTACGTTCCGATAACCTGATCCCCCCAAGGCCCCTCTCTCTCCGGAGTTGGGAAATTTGCAACATATTGTTTGGAATGGCAAAGATTGACCTGATATACTAGTTTTCGCAAGCAATTATGTAAACCGAATATGCACTCGATCATTTCTACAATACCACGAATGGTGCTGAATGCATAACGCATCCTTAAGGGCTTAATGAGTCCAGAATAAAAACTTTATCCTCGTCTCAATACATGCCAACATACACGCATATAAATATATTTATTTCATCTTACACGGCTCGTCATCACATCAACTGTGTGAATCCTAGCAATTCTTGCATTCGATTCGTTTCGTCGCCTCCATCATCGACGATAGTCTTCGAACTTTTAGCGTGTGGGTTCAAATACCGCTTAAGGATTGCCGTCTTCTTCATGAATGTTGTTGAATTTTGCTTGAGTCGATTCTTTCTGGAGTCCTGGTATAGCCGAGGTAGAGCGTTCCAATTTAAATAGCAAAAAGTTATCTTTTCTCGGAGAAGTGTTGTACCAATATCCCAACCCTGGAGAAATGAGAGGCCTCGTGCGGCATGAGCGATGGTGAAACGGGACCGTGCTTGTGATGCCGATTGATGTGATGGAGTTGAAGTTTCTGCTTTTGTCCCTGGTGGCTAACATTAACATTAAACAAAGCCAAGGAAGTAGAAAGAAAACATTGATTTTTGTGCCAGAATTGGACGAAATTAGCTCGAATATTGTCGGGAAACCTGTGACTTTATTAAAAGCAGAAAGAAGTAATACCGAGGACTGCTTTTTTATTTTTCTAGTAAGTGAATCTATGTTTCAACTCCGAGATCGATTCAGCACCAGGCCAACCAAATCTCTCATCCCTCCCAGGTCAGAAAATTGGTACCGGACTTGTCTGGGAAAAAATCACTCTCTGCAGTCCAACTGGGAACACTCCAGCCCGGCTATCTCAGGACTCCTGAGGGAATTGCTCGTCCAGCATTCTGCAACATTTAGGATGAAATGGAAATCGCCAAGGAGGAACCGAAGCCACATGCAAAAGTTGGAAGATCTTCGTGAACAATGGATGCGAGAAATGTTGGGATCCGCACAGTAGACGTGAAGACGGATCAAATGAAAATGAAAAATAATTGTTTTATTTAAGAAAAACAAAATCTACGTATCTCGTAATAGTTCCAAGAATCGACTTTCTAATAACCTCGCCATTGGGTTATAAACTCGTCGTTTTGTGTCTCAGCAATCGCGAGGTTGTTAAACAGCATACGTTCAACAATGCGAGGATAGTGCAGTCTGCCATTCATCGATTTTTCACTCCTTAATCTATTCCAGACTTTGGAAGGAGTTTTTGGGACTAGCGTTGAATAATTTTGACGACCAAAAAAACCCTAGAAGAAAGGTGTGATAATCAACGAGTCCCTAGAGCGAGGAGAAATCAATGGGCTACCCTTGCACGTGACAAGGAAAAGTAAAAAATTATTGCCACCTGCTCCAGTCACTCGGCGATCAACGGGTAGACAGCTGATTCAGGTGAATTTTGGCGAAAACATAACATCAAATCGGATCCATCGTTTTGCGTAGACAGGGATGATAACGTAGCAGGATGTCGAAATCGTGAATGTGATGTCATTATGTAGCTCAACTGATCCATTCAGTAGATCATCAGGCTGCTTCTTTCCTATGGCTTCCAATTCTATCTAACTGAACACAGACCGTATCGATGTCACAATTCTCAGTACGTGAGAAGGCAGCAGCGATGTCGTTGCACAAGTCGAGGTGCTAAAAGTCAGCTTTGCCACACGCATGATGGAATCCATTGCAAATTCTGGCCTGCAGAAGTTAACGACTGTGTAAAAAAAATATTAAGCTCACAACAATATAGATAGAATACTATCCATTCGGAGGTCAAAAATCGTCGTGATATTACGAACAGGAAAATATCATGCTTTTCCTGTCTCTCAACTCAATAGAACCTATGAAACCACTTGGCACCCTCTCAAATCACTCGACAGAAAGACAGATGATATGGCTGGAAAATTGCTATTGCTTTGTATCAGGTTTCAGATGGAGGAAGCATTGCACTAGCTACCATCTCGTTATCGGTTATTCGATATCTTGACTTAAAATGACTCCGCTACTACCATTTTCGAAGACGTGAACGAGGCAATGCTTTCAAAAGCGACTGATAATACAAAATAACAAATAAGGCAGCATTAATGACAAAGGATTTAATACTGCATTAAGGGCGCGTGTGGCGCAGTGGTCGGAGGCGCCCTCAACACGCCCCCCCCCATGGCCCACCAAGCCTTCCTTCCCTCCGGGGTCGGCAAATCGGTACCAGATTTGTCTGGAAGAATAGCAGCACTGGCTCGATACACCGGTAGACCACCGCGAGTTATTGTAAAGGCCAGATATACATTTAGTGTCCTCTAATCGATGCTTAATGAAGTTGAATGCATGGCAGACCCCTCAAGGATCGATCAACGCCGAGAGCTTTATCCTTTATCCTTTAATACTGCGTTATGTCAACAACGTCAAGAATACTTCGCACTACTCACAGAACGCTTGGGCGATGTCTTCTGAAATATAATCGGGACTCTCAATACCTAACCGGAATGCGAAGCTCCGAGTGTATACATCGATAGTGAAACATAGATGGGCCGGCCACATAATAAGAACAGACGAGAGATGGACGAAATGAGCTATAGAGTGGACTCCACGAGAATCCAAACGTCCACTAGGACGGCCACCCACACGTTGGGCGGACGTGTTCATAAACAAAGCTAATCAGCTGTACCCACAGCTGCAGTTATTTTACAGATCACAGTATGAGACTCGCACGCACTATTATGCTCGAATAATGTCACCCCCATGGAGGACGATTGCGAGGGAAAGTAACGAATCGAAAATCTGCTGAGGTCCGCACAACTCGTTAAGGCGGACCATCCAAGTATCCAGCTAAGTAATAATTTAATAATAGGTGGTTATTTCCCACTTTTTTCCCACTTATTTTTTTAAAGTGAATTTCAATGAAGAGAGAAAAGCTTAAGAATTTGATCGAAAACGACAAGGCGCACGAAAACCGTTACAAAGATGAAGGTATCGATTAACACAACGACAATATCCAGTAGATAAAAGTCTCTTCTTAAGAATCCAGTAGAGTCAAACATTTTTCTGTACTGGAAAAGACGGCTTACCATCTTCAGAACTAAAACCTCCAATGTTCCTTCGGGCTTCCACATTTGAATCTGATAACTTGTTTTTTAATTAAAACAGTCATCATTAAAAGATATTGTGAGGAAATGAGGAATGCCATGCAGAAGTGGTGGCGGTTCCGTGATTCTGCTGGAGCAACTTCAAGAAGCGTGTGTATCTGACACGATGCCATCACTTCTATGTTGCTGAACCACGATATCAAGACATCTCTACTAATGGAAACACAAGGATTCACATGCCGATTTCATTACAGAAATGTTCTTCACTAATAATAGAAAAGCTGAAAAATAATACGCGTAGATTCTCCTCCTTAGGTCCACGATTCTCAATCGATCATCGTAAAACGCGTAAGCTGGGAAGAATTCGCTGTATGGCACAAGCACGTTCCTTTTCCACTTTCCCAATTTATCACGCTGTCGCATCTTCATATTCTGAATCCTATTTAGATTTCGTAAAACTCATTAGCATCGAAATAGTGGTGTTAACGCACTCTATAGACCGGGTATGTGGTGCACACCTTCAAAGCAAAAACACTGGTCGAATCTCGCATTTCGTTATTCCCATCATAAAAATATGATGAGGCTTTTTTATGCATTCTGGGATATTCTATGTATGCTAGGGTAATGAAAGTCATAGGGAGCCGTTAATTCACTATGACGAGCACATTCAGGGTTTTGCGGCTGAACATACGCCCATATTGATGCATCTTGTAGTGACTCCCAAGACCGACTTTCTATTAACCTCGGCATCGATTGAATAATTCTTTCTACTTCTGTTCAGCAAACGCGAGGTGTTATTATTCTTTATTTACGTACAAGCTGACGTTTCGGCGGATTTCGCCTTCCTCTGAGCCTGGAAAGGTCAAGTTGACAGCAACCTACTCGGCCAAACACCTCCATAACCAAACAGAGAAAACGCTAAACCAAGATTTCAATCACATTTAACACACCTCTGCACACTCACCGCTTTCTATGAGTCTTCCACTTCCACAGAATGTCGTGTGAAAACCGACCGCATAGAATTCACATGGAAGCGTAATGTGCCTCTCCCATCAGAATAACAGGTTTATATACTGTCCAATATCACGCGTGATAATGAGGCATTCCTCCCTGCGGTTTGTTTTCGGATTCTTGGAATTAATCCAGAATGCCTCTAGAGCTTTGCGCGCTTGTGTTCTCGATTCTTGCGCGAGGATCGTAAGCCTTACTTCAAAATCTTCCCCGTTATGTCTCTGCGTCCTATGCGTGCCTAGTGAAGTATTTGGCTCACGTTTGCCGACTAGGTGTTCTTTTATACGTAAGCAGAGTGGTCTACCCGTTTCGCCAACGTATTCGTCCC